CTTTTAGTTGAACAATTGCAGAAAAAAAAAATATGTGATTTAAGATGGCAGGAAAGACAGAAAATCAGGCCTATTCCCACCCTGGCCACTGTCAGGAGTGTCTGGGTTCCTTAAAATCCCAAAGTAGAGGAAATCGTGAAAGGATGTCTCTTATTTCATTTTAGCTTTGTGAGCAGGGGGCTCGTTTAGTCCAGTGGATGAGAATCTGCTCCACACGCTGCCCGTTTACACAAGGGCCACTCCAGGACTGAACCTTCGGCTCCCTGAGGGGCTGAACCTCACAAGAAGTTGGTCAGCTGGGAACCGGAAAAGCAAATGCGGCTGCCCCCACGCCGCTCCACACACACCTGGAGCCCTGGGGTCCTCTGCCCAGCGTACAGGTGGGCAGGAGAGGGTGCCGGAGGCTCTCTGGGGAGTGGCTCCAGGGTGTTCCTGGCAGGAGCCATGGCCTCTTGTGCTATACAGGGCTCAGCTGGAAGCACAGTGGGCCCGAGTCACCCACCAGGAAGGGCTCGGCACAACCACACGAGCCTCTGCGCAGCAGGGACTTGGTGACAGCCCTGCTCCAAGGTGACTTCCTGTGTGTGTGTAATGCAAAGGGTTACAGAACCCAAATACAATTTCCATACCAGAGAGGCGGTGGAAGCTGCATTCACTTGTGTGTGTGTGTGTGTGTGTGTGTGTGTGTGTGTAAGGCAAAGGGTTACAAAATCCAAATGCAATTTCCACAGCAGAGAGCGGGGTGGAAGCTGCATTCACTTGTGTGTGTGTGTGTGTGTGTGTGTGAGATGCAAAGGGTTACAGAACCCAAGTGCGAATTCCACAGCAGAGAGGTGGGTGGAAGCTGCATAGTGGAGATGTGGAAATAAACTCTGCAGACACAGGGTCTAAGACGGGGCACCCAGGGACTGTGCACGTACAGTGTGGATGACGTCTGTGCATGTGCAGTGTGGATGACACACAGATGGTGTTCACCTTTTACACGAAGGGCGGATGTGTTGTGTGCATATTGTACATAACTTGGTGAACCTCCACTCACAGAGTTAAAATGAAACAAGAGACCTGCCTTCAATGTTTTTCTCCGATAGATATTGCCCATTCAGGAAAATAAGTTTTATTAGCCCTATGGGATTAAGGTTTATTTCATAAATATTTTCTTTTTTAAATTTCTATTTGATCTACAAATAAACCTTCCAAATAATAAATTAATTATTTTTTAAAAGGAAGAGAAAACTTGTTAAAAGGCAGGTGGCTTTATAAAGCAAGGATGCTTACTTCCAAGATCAAAGACACACACAATGTAACCATATGTTTCTTAAAACTAGGAAGAGAAATTATAAAATTGCTGAGGTAGTAACTTTTTCTTTTCAAATTTGCCTTTCTGATTATTTACAAAAATGAACTGGTAAGCCTGGCTTTTTAACAAAAAGAAAACACCAGGAGTGGTTATAATTTCCCTGTTGAGAGCACAGATACTCTTGATTTTAGACTTCAATGGTTCCTCTTTTGAAATTTGTAATGCTGTTTCCTAATGTTGGGGAAAATGATAGGAATCAAATATAAAGCAAAACAAAATGAAAATCATGCAATATGCTGGATATAATTACAGTTTTTGGTTGGTAGAACAGCTGGAAAAGAGAACAAAGCTATTCACGAACATGTGCATAGAAAAGCCACCCTCATCCGGAGACACGTGCAGCATGAAATTGTCAGGCCGACGGGGAGGGATCATCACTCTCAGAAGTCATCCCTGACGGCAGCGCTGAGGAGCCAGCTCAGCAGACACACGGCCGGGTCTTCTGTGCACACCTCTGCCTCCAGGTTAGAGGGTGGCGCTTCTGACATCAGCAGCTCGACACGGATTCCGGAGGCACAGGCCTGCATCCATCACCTGCAGCAGAGCAGCACACACCGGGCCGTTCCTCTGTTCCGCCGCTGTTCATTCTCACAGCCACCAAGAATCAGCCGGTCACAAAGGAGTGGAAAGAAGCGACTCTGGACCCAAATTTCCGTCTGTGCTCCCGTGTGACCGGTGCAGGACGTGGCGTGGAGGGAGCCCCGGGCCTCTGTTCAATGTTCCTGTGGATTCCTTGGGCTGCCGCAGGCCCCTCGCCGACAGGTCCAGGGGCACCTCTGTCCTGCAATGTGGCCCGGCGGCACCGGTGCAACTGGGCACTCTCTCTCCCTGCCCTGAGGCCTGCCGGGGTCCTCCTCAAAGCACCGCTGCTCAGAACTTCTGGCCCGTCCCACACGCCCGCTGCCCTCTGCCCTGGAGGGCTCTGCCCTTGGTCCTTCCCTTCCCCAGATACCCACTGCCCTCTGTTGCCTCCCCCTCCAGCCTCCCGAGTCCAACACCCCCTCTCTGCTCTGCCCATGCCCATCTTGGGCTTTGGAGCAGCTCACACCTGAGCTCTGCACACAGGTCCCAGGCTCTGCCACTCAGACCCAACCCTCAAGGCTGCCGGACTCATAAATCACATCCACTGCCCATTCAATCTTTCTGCTTTTATCTTTGGATCCAGCCCCAGTTCGATCCGTACCACCCAGCCTCTGTTGAAGCTGCTTCAGGCTCAGACTGGGTCACAGCAACCCTCAGCCAGGCCCCACATGCTTGGTTCCTGCTGAGCAGGACTCTCTTCCTCGTGTGCTGGATGCTGGACCCCCCCCGTCCTCCTCAATCCAGGCCTTCTCCCGGACGCAGCCTTCTGTGGAGCCCCCCCTTGCCCCTGCCCTTCCCTCCTCCCTGGTCCCTGGCACCGTCCTGTGGGTGTGGGGTGCACCTGTTCTCTTCCTCACTGTGGCCCCCAGGAGAGTGGTGCCACCATGGCCTCCCTCAATATGAAGCCACTCACATATTGCTTCACTAAAGGACTTGGCAACGTTTCCTGTTTTCTTCAGCCACAGAGAATTCAGAATATGCCTTTCGTTTGGTTTTATAATGTGCCCTCCAACAAACCCTCCTGTGCTTCGCGGATCAAATGGAGAGAGGGAGGCAGGGAGGAAAGAAGAGGAGCGGGCAGGCAGGTGACCAAAAGAGAACAGTTCCAAGCAGAGCGAGGGACTCAGAATTTCAGACTGGGATGGATTCCTGGCCCTGGGCAGGTGGCCCCGGTGCAGCCCCAAAACCTTTTTGTGAGGGCAGGGTTGATCCCCTTCGCCCAAAGTGGTTTAGGCACAGCAGTGCCCGAGGGGAGAGAATCAAGGACAACGTTGTCTAAGGGGCGGCCTCCTCTGGGCTGCACGGCTGCACGCCCTGAATATTCATGCTCTCTGGGCAGCTAGGATTTCCCAGACAGCTGCTCCAGTCACGCAGAAGAAATGAAAGAGCCAATTCCAGCAGCTCAGGCATGGTTTTTCCTCCCACAGGACACTTAGAGGAAGGTTTTCCAATGCCAGGTAGCAGCAGGGCCGATGTTTACATTAAATTTAAAATGATCAGAATTCAAATGTCAAAGATTTATAATGGCTTTTCAGGTTAATCATCAAACTGAACATGAAAATAAAGAGTCTCTCTCCCGCTTGTGAAAGGTTGGCGCGGCGTACACACCTCTGGGGAAGGAAGGTGCCGTGATGGAGCCGGTTCACAGAACTTATCTCCCCGAAACACTGACCAAACAAAGAGCGATTCGTAAAACTGCAAAAGCACAGCGGATGACCAACAAAGCAGCTTTCAGGGGCTGCCCGAAACCCCGTGTGGCTCCCGCCTGATTTCCAGGCTGACATCTGGGCCTGTTTTGATGGCCGTGGGCTGCTTCTGGTGGCCAGTTCCAGCCTGTCAGGTGCTTACCCAGCACGGGCATCCTCCCTGCCAGGACCCACAGACTAAAAACCTAATAGAGATGTGAACAGAAGAGACCCCAGTTCTCTCATGAATCATGCTGAGCTTGGAGCAGTGGTGGACTGCTCTAAACCAGGCAATCAGAGAGAAACTAGTGAAAATCTTGGGGGAAAAGAATCTATGATCAACACAGGGCAGACTGAGGGGTCACTGAGGTGCGAGGATGGAGCCAGAGGCGGGGGCTGAGGGCACAGAGCAGGAGAGAGCAGCTGTCAAGGAGCGCCTATGACAGGCAGGTGCGTGGTGGTGCTTGTATGATCATCGATCACATCTGTTCTTCCAAACTCCTACAATCCTACAACAACACATCACAAATGTGTCCTAAGGTTTCAATTTAGAACAAATAATTGCTCTGTTTTTAAGTTCCAGTTAAGAACTTGGACCATAAAATGTCTGAGAAAGGTAAAAAAAAAAAAATGCGGGTGGTGAAGCCACTGAGGTGCATCCGAAGTCACCAGATGTCTCAGAGGGAAGTGAGGTTGGGCGTGCACTGCCTCACTGTGAGGAGGTGCTCACAGGGACTGGGGACTGGTCTTCACCTGGGAAGGTTCTGCTGCAAATGCATAGTGACCATGAAAGCTGCAATTACATTTAAAAATATTGCTTTAGGTTGCAAATATTGTGAGAAGATGAAATCACAGGAGCCACTGTTAAAAAAGAGGGAGAGAGAGAGAGAGCGAGAGAGCGAGAGAGCGCGCTAGAGTTGCAGAAATCAAGAAGTGAAAAAGCGAAATGCACTTGGTTAGCTTGTTTCCAGCCAATGTTCTGATCCCGCCATCCTGGTAGTGAGAAGCCGAATGCATGACTGGTTTCAGGCCCCAGTTCCCTGACCAAGCGATGGAGACAGGAGGCTGGGTCCGTGGACAGATGACGCCCGTGGAGTCTGCGGAAGCTTCTCTCGCAGGGCGTGCTGCACACACTCGCAGGGGTGTTTCCCTTAGCTGATGCCTGGGATGTTTCCAGCTGATGGGGAGGCTTCTCAGGGCTCCCCTTGCCTCTCCCGGTAACACCTTAGACCAACCACTGAGTAACAGCCACGCGGCGTGCGTCACTTCCCTAATTTTAAAAAGGCACATAACTCCTCATTTTCCATCAACTGTCCCCATGGAGCGGTCTTTGCGCGGACAGTCGCTGTCAGGAGAGAGGTGTGGGCGCTACCTACCGTCTCCCTGGCACTGCAGTGGTCCCAGCTTGTAAGCTGCCTCCGAGCCCGGGCGGTCCGCGTCGGTGATGACGATCTGTGTGACTGGCAGGTGCTCGCGGTGGGAAAGCACGCCCACGTCGCTCGTCCTGGGGGAAAAGACACCGTGTGACGCTGGGCAGGGCCAGGATTACCCAGCTCCACCTGCAGGGACATGCCAGGCCTGGCGGGGCCACCACCCAAATGCCAGGCCCAGTAACACCCTTGATGCGTCCTTTTGTCCACATGGGGACCACAGAGAAGGCAGGCAGCAGACTCTGAAGGTGGCCATCTGCCAGCCCGAGATCACAGCTTCAGCAGAAATGAGTGGCAGATTGTGCTTCTAAATGTCGGAGTACGAATAAATACTGCTAAATAAATAATAAATAATAACAAATGCTGCACGAATGCAGTGTTACATGCCTTGTGGGCAACTAAGTGAGGGGGATTGTTAAGTATTAATAAAATATAGTAGTCTATGTAATACATCAATAAAAAATGACTTTCATTCAGATTTTTATTTTAATTATTATTATTTTAGAAAGCTACCTTGTGTTTGCTTTGTCCTTCTTTATTGACTTTTATAACTAAAAAAAAAAAACTGATTTGAAACCGAGTTGGGAATCCAATGCAATGCAATACTCTCTAAACTTTAATCAGTGGGATGATCTGAGAGTGAGCGCTCAGTCAATACCTGTCCCTAGAGGTTTCTTCCAACCTGAACTGCCCACTCTCTCTTCCCACAGGTGACAGGTGTGATCCTTGCCCTGGCGACCCCCAGTTCCCGGGATGTTTGCGCACTCATTCCTGCTATGAATGGCTTTATAAAACTGAGTGTGTGCTGGAGATAAATGAGCATCTCTAGGAGAAATGCAGAGACGGCTGGGATGGGGCGGAGAGCCTGGCCCCCGGCTGCCACCGCCGCCTCTCTGGCTGGTGTCCATATTTCCCAAATAAGGGCATTGTTTACATTTTTGCTGCATCTTTGCGATTTTATGATGGACTTCACTTTCATGTGGATTTCTGATTTATAGACCATAGAGAATCTGATTTGAACCAGAAATACCCTGAATCCACAGGGAGAAATAAAGCCATTTCTACCGTTCAGATGCTGCCAATTCTGCCTCCATGTAGATTTGGAAGAAAGGGCCAAGGTGCTGAATGTGTGGCTATTCCTATTTTTTTATGCAACTAAAAGTTCCTCATTTAACAGAAAAAAATGTTATCACAGTTAACAAAATTAAGCATTTTATTTCAGATTAAGCTTAAAATTATGGCTTAAATGTTTTATTTCAGATTAAACTTAAAATTGTCTTAAACATTTCCTCTTACATTATCAATAGTATGTCCGCTATATTTAGTGCATATACTGAGATACAAAGGAATAAAAATTAAAATATAAACAGTAAGACAGTGAAGGAACTGGATCATTTGCCAAATTTAACCTCAACAATCCACTGCTTTACTAAGTTAAGCTTCTACTTCTTTTTGGTAACAAGGAAGATACAACACAGATTTTCCCAGTCTATTAAAGCTTGATTTCGGAATACTAGAGAGCAGGCACCAGGAGCACGGCTTATGGGGAGTGTGAGGGGCCAGCCTGGGACGTCTCTGAGGTGGTAGAGAGCAGCCACGTTAATCACTGTCTGACCGTCCGTCTCTGACAGCACAAACACCCAAGTCCCGGGAGGCCAGGAACACTCCCGGGAAATGCAGAGCTTCTGGTCATTCAAGGTCAAACCTTGAAGTTTTTAAGCATAACCTTGCAGAATGCATGCCTTTTATTAAGAGTTTAATGTCAGCAATGTATGTAGAGTGCTGAGAATAAGTAAATGTAGCTCAGTGGATGCATATGTGTGGAGACAGGTGATGAAATACTAATATGTCTTTGGTCAGCGTTGGTTTGGAAGCTGCTACTGCTCAGCTGCGGGGAAGAGTGGCCTTCTACATTGTCATGTGAGTGCAAACTCCCTGCTTCATTCAGGGGATTCACGATAGATTTGCCAGGCTCACTGAAAACTGCTGGTTCACAGCCACGCCTGACTCCTCTATGTTCTCCTTGCAGGTTTCACTGCAAGACAGACACAGACACAGTGAAGCTGCCACAGGTTTCCAGAGGTCTCCAGAATCCAAGAAGACGGCATTTAAACTTCCTTCATAGACACTCCTAAACTACAGAAAATGTTAAGGGATATTTTTAAACACTGGAAAGGAGGAACGTGGAGAAATGTCTGGCCAACTCTAACATTTACTAGAAGAACAGAAATGTTACCACTGCCCACAACAAAATCATTCAGAACCATTTTTTTTTTTTTTTCGCCCAGGCTGGAGTGCAGTGGCCGATCTCAGCTCACTGCAAGCTCTGCCTCCCGGGTTTACGCCATTCTCCTGCCTCAGCCTCCTGAGTAGCTGGGACTACAGGCGCCGCCACCTCACCCAGCTAGTTTTTTTGTGTGTGTATTTTTTAGTAGAGACGGGGTTTCACCGGGTTAGCCAGGATGGTCTCGATCTCCTGACCTCGTGATCCGCCCGTCTCAGCCTCCCAAAGTGCTGGGATTACAGGTTTGAGCCACTGCGCCCGGCCTAGAACCATTCTTAGGGCCAAATCTGAAGACAGCTCCAAGTGAATGGAGCAGTTTTTACTTTCTTATGAGAAATGTGACTTACAGAAAAATATATCATCACCAAAAACTTTCTTGATCAATTAAAATTTTACTTTATGAGAAACATCTCAGGCATTTAAATGGCTTAAATGAGAACATAAAAAACACCAATGTACCCATCTAACTTAATAACTAGAATATTATGATTGTAAAGGAAAAACCAAAATTACAATAATTATGGATATTATATATGTAGAAAATACAAAATAATTTACAGACCATAAAAATTAATATGAGTCTAGCAGGGCCAATGGATAAAAAATCAATGACACGAAAACAGACTGTGTTTCCATACACCAGCAACACCAACTCGGCGAACATGAAGTGCAAAGCGACTTGGCTCTCAGTAGCATCCAAAACACAAACCCCCAGGAGTAAAACCAACGAAGGCACGTGAGACCTCTACACTGAGCGCTATACAAAGGTTACTGAGGGAATATTCAAGAGTTGGAAGACTCAGTGCTGTAAAACTGTGAATTCCCCAGATTTTTCTGAAGCATTAATACAGCCAATGAAACTAATGTCAAATGTCAGCTGCAGCAGCGGAAGGTGCCCCAACAGTGCTGGCGAGACAGGGAAACTCCCAAGGTGTCCTCCAAGACAGAAACAGAGAACAAAAGGCTAGAGAATAGCCCCCAGAGCCACACGGCCCGCAAAGCTGGGAGAGGAGCCCCACACGGCTGCTGTGCACACACAGACGGTGCAGACAGTGAATCGGGCCCAGACCCCGCCGCAGACCTTGGCAGAGACAGGGCAGCTTGGAGGGAATGCATGTGAAAGAGAAAAGGGAACCTAGAACTGATCTAAAATCACTGCCCAAGAGAAAGTCCACTTGAGGGTGAAAATACTGGAAAACGGTACATAGATCGGGGCACTGGCTACAGGAAGGGGCTGGGCACACTCACGCGCTCAAGAAGGTGGCTTTGCCAAGACAAGAGTCTGGGGGAGGGAGGATGGAAAGGGAAGTGCCCTTTGGAAACCATGTGGTATAATGGAAGGGATGTTAGAGAGAAACTCTAGGATCCCACCAGGAAAAGGAAATTGTGAAAAACTAATGACGGCCACATAACCCTTCCCCTTACACAGGACTCCACGCAAGGACCATGCTGACTGAAGCGGTGCCCGTGACCCAGGACCCAGATGTCAACCATTTTCTACAACCAGCCCTGCCCACAGAGATGCAAAGACACCGTCTCCATAAATGTAAAACAAAACAAAGTGAAAACCACCTGGGTGGAAATCTCCCTGGGACGCCAGCAATGAGTGAAAAAAACACAACAGAATCTTCCAAACGGACTTAAATGTCTTTAAACAAGCATAAGAAGGTGTGACAAGGTACTTTGAATCTGAAATTCACAAACTAAGAAGAAACATGGACCAACCATCCGGAAGAAAGCAAGCAAGGGAACAGAAATTACAAAATAAACCCAAGAAAACCACAAAACCATAGAAAATGAGGAACAATTACAACATGCCCAAGAGAGAACAGATTCAGATAAAAACGTAATAAAGGTCATTGGATAAAAGCAAAAACAAGCAACTCAAAGAAGGAAAATCAGATAAATAAAAAATCAATATGAACCAGAAAGTAGTGGAAATAGAAGAAAGACAAAGAAAACCTAATTTATATGTAACTGGAGATAAAGAAAAAATAAAACAGAACTAATATTTAAAACTATAACCCAACAAGGCTTTCTGAAAGCAGAGGAAGACCTGAGCCGCACACACAGAGGAACTTGACCTGGAACAATCAACTCTGCGGTTTATCCTAGTAGAAGTGTTAGACTTAAAACACAAGGAAAGGGCTGGGCACAGTGGCTCACGCCTGTAATCCCAGAAGTTTGGGAGGCCGAGGCGGGCGGATCATGAGGTCAGGAGTTCAAGACCATCCTGGCTAACACGGTGAAACCCCGTCTCTACTAAATATACAAAAAATAAGCCAGGCGTGGTGGCGGGTGCCTGTAATCCCAGCTACTTGGGAGGCTGAGGCAGGAGAACGGCGTGAACCTGGGAGGCGGAGCTTGCAGTGAGCCGAGATGGTGCCACTGCACTCCAGCCTGGGCGACAGAGCGAGACTCCATCTCAAAAAACAAACAAACAAACAAAAAAACACACAAGGAAAAAATGACCAGAGTTTCAGGTCAAAAAGGTGAAATAATGTACAAGGGCCTCAGATTTCTCCAAAATAACATACATCAAGGTAATGGTAGAAGATTATTTTCAAAAGTGTGAAGGAAACATGAACCAAGGGCTTTACATCCAGTCACCTCCCTTTGGATGCCAGGTCACAATACGAGGCGGGTGCTCCCCAGGGCTGCAGGGATTCTACACCCAGAGGCATCTGCTCTGCCTTTGAAGAATCTACTGGAGCATGAACAGCAGCCAACCGGGAGATAACTGGGCAACTCCAGCAGAACTAATACCCGTGAGGATGGAGGATGTTTAAT